GTTGTCTTACTCATATTTTATAAATTTTGATCTGAAAATTTCTTTAATATTGATGGTATTAGATGAGGCATATTATAAAATTTGATGCAACCATGACGGAGATGAGCTATTTTCACTTGAAAACATATTTTTGTTCTATATTTTTATTTCCAAATGGATATCACTGCTACATTATCAAATGCGCAATATATTTTACCCTTTATTTTAGGAAACGGAATTTGATCAAAGGTTGCTTATATTAGCACAAAGCATATACATACATTTGTAAAACAAACGAGTAGTCATATGTTTTTTGTATACAAACAAAAGCGTACAGGTCATGGCAAATACTTTTTAGCAATAATATTTTTTCATATTTGATAGACTGGTTTATCCATAAAAGGATATGGCATTATAAACCGGTTTTGCTATACATCATAAAATGCGCAGAAAAGACAATAAATGACAGAGAAGAACTTAATTTTAGAAATTAGGATTTTCTAGTTCTTCTTGGAATATTAATAATGAAACTTAGAAACAAGGTGGGAAACGCTTACCAAAAAAGTGTGTTTAAGTAAAACAAAAAAAAAATTTTTTTAATTAGTAATTTTTACACAAAATTTTACAGGAATCCCATTAAATGAGGAAAACTCCTCAGAAAAAATGCGTTGAAAGATGTGGCGACTATGTAGAAAAATAGTTTAAAATACAAGCTTTCCGATGGTATACATATTTATTGCAATAAAAATGCCTCAACCCTGAAAAAAATGTGGCAACCTTATTTTTTACATGCCCCTCGTATATATAATTATATATATATGTGTGTGTGTGTGTATGTACGTGTGTGTTTTTGCACCGCAGTTTCCGATAGATAATTAATAAAAAAGATTTTATCATTTTAATTAAGTAAATAATATATAAATTATTGTTACACCATTCAAGTTTATATTCAGTTATTGCGAAACACACACACACACACACACACACATATATATATATATATATATATATATATATATATAAATGTTCAAGGACTTGGAAACTATAATAAATTTTCTATTCAAGAATTCAGTGATTTAAATTTTGCAATACCTATATTTACGAGTAAAATCCATCAGCCTGACTCTCTTTTATTTAAAACGAGCTTTAACCTAAATAATATTTACATTAAATCTCTAAAAATTGTGAACTATATTTCTGGACGTTACTAAAAATTATTTACTCTGGAATAATTGTTTAATATTAAACAGAAATTTAAGTATTATGAACTATAATTTTTAAAATGTACATTTATGTTAATTTTTATTCAATTCAATTTTTTTTATTTAATTTCTATTTTTCCAAGTGTACATCAATGAAATGTTGATATAATTATATATAAAAATAAAATATGAAGAGAACGGATGTTTTTAAGTTAAAAAAATAAAATTATAATATACATATATCCCGATTATTTTTTAGACCTTGAAACTTTTTCAATTCATTTAGTCGAAGTGAAAAATAAATATTTTCACCTCTTTATCTAAAAAATTAAAGAACAAAGAATCAAAACTTCATTAAATCAATCAGTCATAAACAGTTTTTTTGTATTTCCTGATATGATGGATAATGTTTTAATTAACAATTTTTTGCGATTACTATAACTTGCCCTAAAATGAAATTTTTTATATATCTTTACGTTTCAAAACATTCTGAACATTTTAGCATACCTTAGAAAAAGTATATGTGTGTATGTTTGTGTGTGCGGATACAAATTTTCGTCGACGATTTCGGTAACACGGATCAACCGATTTGAATAATTCAAAAAGCATTTGATTCGTATTGATAAGGAGACGTGCTGATTAGTTTTTGGCAAAGGCAGGTCTAGCCGTTCCCAAGATACGGAGCAAAAAAATTTCAAAAACGGTAACTCAGTTTTTAAGAGAACGTCCGATTTTAATAATTCAAAAAACATTTTAATTGTATTGACAAGATGACTGATTAAGTTCTTTTTTTTATATGTATATATATATATATATATATATATATATATATATATATATATATGTATATGAAATATACAACAATATGTATACGTATGTATATTTATGTATGTATATAATAGCACAAGTATATTAGTACCATTGTGAAAATGTTTTTCTTATCACAAACTTTCTACACGGATGAGATTTTCTTATATATTTCTATGATTCATTGCATTATTTTTTATTTTTATATCTATAGCCTCATGTATGCAGTTAATAATATATTTTATACACACACATTTATTTTATATCATAAATTAAACATGCTATATAATTATATCATGTATCCATATACATAATTCATAATAAATGATAAAAATTATGAATTGTGTAACAAACTTGTGTCAACATTGGTTTGAATGAATAATTTAATCTTTTTGTAATTATGTGCATTTAAATTTAATTTTCAACAAGGTCTTGATAAGTTTTATGTATCTTGATTGAAATTGGAGGAATCATGCTCTAATTATTTGCTAAGTTTGAGATTTTGATATCTAGCATATTTATGTTTGATAATTGATGAAATTTACGAATGTAAATAATTGTTAGGTAGTTATGAAAGAAAGAACTAGTTGTAAGTGGTATTTTGTCTTAAGGCAAATTTTTTTTATCAATTTGGAACCATTTGAGCTTATGGGAGCAAGGAAATTCGAAAATGTACATATTAAGGACCACCCTAATATATATATATATATATATATATATATATATATGCTTATTATCATAAATTATTTCAATGATTCATGTGCATTGAACAAGCCTGTGAAAGGTTGCGTTTTTCTCTAGGTTATTGTACAATAGGCTTATGAGCATGAATATGAATGTCTCTATATATTATATTACTATTGCTAAATGTTTTATGAACTTTTAAAAAATCAAGAATTAATGCTAGTTAAATTATATTTAGTCATGTTGAATCGACTTGAGGTCAAAGTTCGTTACACGTGAAGAAACGTTTTGCATAATAGTTTTCGTCTGGGATAAACAGATATATAAAAATATACATATATACATACATACATATATATATATATATATATATACACACATATATATATATAAAATATATATATATATATATATATATATATATATATTTGTATTTATATATATGCTTATTCTTTTATTGTCATATGTAAATCAGTCAATTGGAAAATTGCAAACAAGCAAATTAATTGGTCTTGTCTGTATGTTTAGGAAGTTCATTGTTCAGTGTTAAATTATCGGCAGTATTTATATAAAAATATATACATATATTAATTAAAATAAAAATATATTCTTTCAGCAGATAGAAATTTCTAATTAAATTTACTAAACTACGAATATAATATGCATTAATAAACTATTATTTCTGCCTTCGTTATCGAGCAATTGTATATCATGTATATTACAAAGTTGATATGAAGAAATCTTCTAATATTGTTATTATGTTATATTTATTATTATCTGTCACTTTTTATTATTGTTTTTATTCCACTTTATTTTTGTTATAGTATTATTTTATTATTCAGAAATTTTATTTATTAATTTTATTATTATTATTTGCTTTTATTTTATATTAAATCATCATACTACGGATATCATTTTAAGGTAAATTCTATCCTTGGTACTCTTTTTTATTTAAATTTATGTTATTATTCATTATTCTTACTAGATGTTAAATTATTTAGCAGTTGTAATAAATATTGTAATTAAAAAAATGAAGAAGTCTTAAAATAATTCTCTAACAAATGAAAGGAAAACGTTTCCAATAACTTGGAATTATATTTTTTAGCTACCCGAAGATAGTTTATGATTTCGCCAGAAAATCCGACTTGTTAATTTTATGTTACCTCGACTTAGCAAATCATTCTGAATCGTTTGAGACCAAAAGTATGTCACACGAAGTATTGCAATCATTTTTGATGAAAATGTAAATCTACAATCTGATTTTAATATAAATATAACAATTTTAATGTTTTTATCACATAGAATAGTGTGAAACCTGTCAAAACGTGCTATTTTTATTTTATTATATTAGATATTCTATTCTATTATATTCTATTTTATCATAGAATAAACAAATTGTACGTACTTTTTACTTTTTATTTCTAAAACGTTCCATGTTTCAGTTTTCCATTAAATGAAGGCTAAGGCTATGTCGCCCAAATGGATTAATGCATAAATATATTTTAAAATAAATTATTAGACTCTGTCAATATCAAATTCCAAATTATACAACATATATATACATATATATATATATATATATATATATATATATATATAATTTGATTGAATAGGTTTAGTGCAAATAGCGTGAACGTGTATATTGCGCAAAAGATTTATAACGCAAGAATGATTATTAGTTTCTATTATTGAAGGATTTTAAAAGCATAAAATATATAATTATGTATTCGAAAGACTTTGTTCATATTCAAGATTTGTCATGTGATCAAAAAATATTATTCTATAGAAAAAAATCAATAATAAAATATAGAGCCATGTCAGTCATATATGTGTGACATAAAAAATAGGGGGTTACCAGGAATTTTGGCAAAACAAATTCTTATATACATTTTTTTTAAAAAAGAAGTTTTAGAATTAAAAATATTACATAAGGAAAATTAATTAAAAGGACCAAGTTATACATACCAGATCAGAAAAAAACACATTTTATTAAATTATTTTTATTTTCCTACAGTAGTAGCATGTGATGGGAGTGATGTAAAATGTTATAGTGAAATGTGTTTTTTCCTGATCTGGTGTGTATAACTTGTTTTTTTTAATTATTTTTCTAATGTAATATTTTTAATTCTAAAACTTTTCCTTATATTGTAAATTTCTTTTAGCTGTATGATGAGACACATCTAGTCTCAAAACGTATAAAAAAATTAAAATAAACTTTTCCATATTCGACGCATTGACTGTTTTATTCAATTCAATATATATATATATATATATATATATATATACATATATATATGCATATAATTATATTTCACTTCTCCTTTTCAGATAAGAAAAAATACACCTTCTATGCCATATACAACTGCCACAAGATTCATGAAGAACTTCAAACCGAAGAAATCAATTTATAATCCAAAATTTCAAAGTTCTCCTAATCTTTTAGAAATACTTTTAGAAAAACTGGTCTAGTGTCTAGAACTTATTTTATTATAAAATAAAAACAAATAATTTAAAATTAATATTTTACTAAAATTTATAAAAACGCCAACACAAGATGCCTTCCCTATTGGAAGCATTGGAACATAAGTATGGAGGAGGTGGTCCACCTACGAACTCCGTGGAAACTTGTACATCACTGGTGTCTATTTTTGTGCCAAAACGACCACCCAGGTAAGGAGAAGAATACTTTGATTTGATAATAGAATGTGTAATCGATGAAATCTTTCGATTGGGATCGTTCAAGTATTACGTAAGCAGATTTATTACAATTATTTACCCCCTCCCCCATCCCCCTTGTCAGCAAAAGTATGTAAAGCTCCTTCCGTAAACATTTTGCAATTAATGTAAAAAAATAAAAATACTATCTATGACGTAATCATCATCCAGACTCCCCTGCCCCCCATGTCAACCCAAAATAAGCAAATCAACCAACCCCCCCCCGCCCCCGCCCCCTATAGTGCTTACTTAATACTTGAACGGCCCCATTACATTTACTCTCAATTATTGCATAATCAGGTAGATGACCCACAATCTCACGACTTCTTTTTTGACTATTATTGACAATGTTTAAATTTTTTCAATGTATTATTCAGAAATCGTTTTAAAAATCTTCTTAAATTCATGTCAGTATTCAAATGTGTGTTTTATTATAGGTTAAGTGTTCCTGAACTTTTAGTCCTGAATGACTGCGATATAGATGCAGGAGGAGATCCGGAGCAATTGGCAGAAAAATGTGGTGCCGTTCGAGAATTGGATTTGGCACAAAACAGACTTAGGTCTTGGAGAGCTGTGACACAAATATTACAACGTGTCCCAAAGGTAATGATAAATAAACTTTTTATTCAGCAAAAAAAAACACTTGAAAAAATACTTGTCCAAGGATAAACTGGTTTTCGCCAGGAAATCCGATTAGCTAATTTTATGGTCAGAGTTATTCTGACGCGTTTGAGACCAAATTTGGAACAAGTATGTGCGTCTGTGCACATGTCTGTTTTTTTCAAAAAAAGGGCTGCTCTGATTCCAAAAATTTAAAAGCCATTGGATGATGTGACTAGGTCAGTACTTGCGTCGATTACTTTTTCGGGACGACCTAAACCATTTCTTTGAGTAGATAGAAAAATACAAAATGTTTCGGCCACGTTTTCAAAAAAATCGGAAAGATATTAGTTGAGAAAAGTGAGAAAAATAAGACCGATCCCAATCCGCTACCCCCTCTACAGGGTAGCAACCATCTGGTGTAAAACCTCAATGCCATGAAGATTGTCGCCTTCATGGCCAATATAATAAAATGATAATACCACGAACAAATACCACGCACATGTTTCTAACAAATATAAAAACAAAAGTATACATATTTTTGGAAACAATTACAAACCATTTCAACACTTGTAGGTAAAGTTAATTATTAATGCTCTACCTCAAAGCAAGTCTGGGAGTTTTTTTCTTAATAATTAAATCTTGAAATAAAATGAAAATTTACATTCTTATATTAACATCATATGTTCAAGTGATATTGGTTCATTTCATTACAATATTCACAAAATTCATGTCAATTCCTTATCCAGTATTTATTCTTTCAGGTTGAGTTCTTGAATTTAAGTTTTAACAACATTGGAGGGACCCTAAGACGTGAAGAATGTTCCTTATGCTTGCAAAGGCTGAGAAATATTGTTCTGAACAATACCAGAGTCACTTGGACCAATGTAAGAAGATTGTTGGAAGCCATGCCCAAACTTGAAGAACTGCACTTGAGTCTAAATGATTACAAAAAGGTAAGTAATAGAATACAGTAAAAATCCGATGAGACGATTTTCCAGGAACAGAACAAAAGCCTGGTCTTATGGTATAAAGGACAACCAGCAATCAAATAGCCAACTGATAATAATTAACAAAACACTTACTAAATGCCCTCATATAATTATACCATGTATTCACGTGTAAAAAATGAGAGCAATTCGAAAAAGTCCTTCCTGGCAAACATACACCTTCCTGACAAAATATTATTTGTATATTTCTTTTATTACCAGGTTCTCTTAGACTTGGAAGTAGAAGATCCAAAACAAAATGGCTGCAATAAGGAAGAAGGTTGTTGCTGTCAACAGAAACAAGATGAAGTAATTGATGAAGAAGAAGCTGATGACGTTTTTGAAAATGAAGGTGATGGAGAAAGCCGCTGTGAAAACGAAATGGAATACATGAAAGCACACGAAGGCGTCCGAAAACTTCATTTTTTAGGAAACCCGGTCAGTATAGATAGTAAAAGACTTAGAAAAAAAAACTCTCTAGTATAATAGGACACCAGTTAAGTTGAAGAAATACTGTATTTGTGTACATAGTTATAAAATTTATTAAGTCTGTCCTTCGATAACTCAGGTTGTTGGGTTATAATTTAACTCTTTTAGCTGTGGACTGTATTAAACACTGATTTGCTGGTATAATTTATGTGTTTGTTGCAATTTCTTGTAACACTTATGAATGTCACTAAGTTCTAACTGAAGAAGATATATTTAATACATTGCTACGCGGACTTTAGTTTTAGAAGTGAACAATCAGTCTCATCAAACTCTCCGCAACCCACTCTACCAGGGATAAAAGCTCAATGCCATGAAGATTGCCGCCTTCATGGCCAATATAATAAAATGGTAATGCTTCCGAACAAATACCATGCACATGTTTCTAACAAATATCACAAAAACAAAAGTAAACATATTTTTGGAAACAATTAGAAAAGATTTCAGCACTTGTAGGTAATGTTAATTTTTGATGGTCTACTTCAAAGCAAGTCTCTGGAAAGTTTTATGTTTCCAGTCGTTATCTCGAATTCAATTCTTGGTAATTTTATTTGAAACACTGAAAATAGTTTTGTCAGTCTAATAATAAAATAGTTTCAATTCAAGACAAGAATCTTATAAGAATTTACATTTATAACTGGCAGCTTAAGTTGATGGTAATGTAGATACATGCCCTACATGTAACAGTTATGTTAAAAAAAGTAGTAATCAATTACCAGAATGCAGCATCAAAATTATTTATATTCAAAATGAAACAGAAATTCAATACAATATCACGTAATATGCCAATCTATAAAATTATTCCACTTTCATAAATTCACCTGGAAATCAAGCAACTAGAATCCGTCATGGACAAGTGCGGTTTGCGGTCCAGAACAATCTTTTTAAATTGATTTCGTATATCTTGTAAACAATAAAAGTATAAATTTTCCTAATTATTTAGTATTATTTTATTATTTCATATATACTATAATTTTCGCTTGTGGCTATTTAAACCGCATATCCTTGACGATATCGATTTTAGAGTTGAAAAACAAATTATGAAAAATCCAGTACGTACAAAAAAAAATTGAAAGAAATTGTTCTTATATAACTGCAAAGTATTACAGTACTTGATATTTACAAACATTTTATTTATAATTTTTTACCTCAACAAAAAAACCCATCACGATCCATTTCCATGATTACATTTCAATTATTACCAATTATTTATAATTTTTTATCCATTCCGTGATTGTACTTCGATTATTATTAAATTATCATTTAATTTTTTTTATCCAGATTCGCCAATGGGGCGAGATAGCACGATTAGGACGATTATTTCCAAATTTGGAGTCTTTAGTAGTTGCTCAGTGTCCATTACAATCTTTGGAATGTGTTTACAATGATGAAGGCAAAGAAGAATCTGAAGAAATCTCACAAGAAGATAAAGAAAGATTTTATAGAAGATCGGAAAGTGACCCTGAAAGCGCTGAACGAAAACCAGAGGAAGCCCATACTTATTTTAGGTAGATATATGAAAATTGACTCATTTAAATTAATATGAATAACTTATAGTCCAGTCATTATAGTAAGTTCACCTCCGAATTCGAGATACCCACTTAAAAGTTTTCTCAAAACCTACACTTGTCGCGTACACCCTACCATATGTAGGTTTTGAGACAACTTTTAGGTGTCAATATACAAGTATTTAAAGACTTACAGCTGGGTATCTCGAATTCCGAGATTCTTACCTAATTTAAGCTTAAATGACAGGACTATTATCCTATGAAAGGAAAAAGCTGATTCCGTTAAGGAATGTCTATGATCTTAATGTATTATTACAATGTATTTATTTTATCCTACAGAAACCTAACATTTTTAAACCTCAACACGACCAAAATAAATGATTGGGGAGATATTGATCGTTTAGCAAGATTTCCAGCCCTTAGAAGCTTGAGGGTGCAAGTAAGCCACATTTTCTATTATTGTTTTTTTTTTTTTGAAAAATATAAATTTACTCAAATGTGTAATTTTTATCTTAGAATTGGCCTTTATGGGATAGATATGATGTTACAGAACACGAGAGAAGGCAGATGCTTCTTGCAAGATTGCCTCAGGTAATATAAGTTAAAAAATGGATTTATTTCAAACTTTTCAAAAATTTCATCCACCACGATAAAAAACAAAAAATTATGAGCTAAGTGGCATTTAGCCTTAAGGAAAGTTGCACGGACTAGGTGTACTAATCAAATTATCTAGGTGTAAATAATGGATTTGATCAATAAGAATTGAGATTTGACTAATTAGATCCAATTTTCAATTGCTTATTTAAAAAAATCGATTTCAGCAAAAACTGATTAGTATACAATTTTTGAAACGGCCCTGATCTTTACCAAAAAGTAATCAGCAGTCTTTATAAAAAAACTATATATTACCAAAATCGGTTCAAGATTTTTAACAAAAATGTTGATAAAAATTTTGCACTTATCTCCTAATTATAAAGAAACCGATCGCCACGCAAAACTAATCATAGCTAGTCTTGGTCAAGTTTTATCAAACAGCCTTTTGAATTTTTGAAGCTGGTGTATTAGAAAACGCCAACGAAAGGTCCAATTTTGGACAGACAGACATACACAGACATTTTCAATTTTGGTGCCAAATGATTTAAGATGCCTTGAAAGGTTGACCAAATCGGATTTTCTGATGAAAACGTGCACTGCACCTTCCGAGTCGTTTTATCAGCCAACCAAAGGTCCAATTTTGGCTTACATACACACACTTTTTCAATTTTGGTTTCAAATGATTCAAGATGTCTTGAAACGTCGACCAAAACAGATTTTCTGGTGATACGTACACTGCTCCTTCCAAAAGTTAATAAAGTTAATTCTTATCGAACCATATATATTACAATATATGAATCTTGCTCTTCTAATACGTAGTTATTCTCTATAGGTACTCATTTTTCTACTAGAGATACTATTAGTATAACTTTACATATTTTTTAATAAAAATTGAAGTCAAAACCACTCTTTTAGGTGAGCACCCTTAATGGAGGAGGAGTGGTCGACCATGAAGAACGAGAAGACGCCGAACGAGCTTTTATTAGACACTACATGGACAAACCAGAATCTGATAGGCCTGAAAGGTACATAGTCATGATTTATACTTGTTTATCTATGGTCATGATCCTTTGTAAATTTTGTCCTTTACCAGTGTGAGCACAATATTTCACACTTTGGTAAAAGATATAGAATGAAATCGACTAGAATAGACTAAATAGTATCAATTTTTTTTCTAACTTTTCAGATATTCTGAATTGGTTTCGATTCATGGCAAATTGGACCCTCTAGTCAATGTTGATCTACGACCTGAGAAACGCGTTAAAGTTACTTTTACTTGCGGAGACGTTAGTGAAGTAAGAAGTGTGGATGTCTACAGGTACTAATTGCATTATTTATCTTTCTACCTTAAAATATAACATTAACAAAATATATCTTATAATAACTTAGTAATTCCCAGAAGAAATGACCTAGATGATCTTTACAAAAACTAAGTAGTACGATTTCCAACTAACAGGAAAGTTCACACTTAACTGGTAAATGCATTTAACTGTTTTTGAAATTTTCAGGAAACATCCACATAAAGTCAAATTTGGCCACACATGTACAAACATACTTTTTCCAATTTCGGTCTCCAACAATTCAGAATGGCTTTAAACTTTTTTTTAAATCTAGCAAGTCGGATTTTCTAAACACGAACTTCTTCTTCAGGATGCAGGCTTTCAAAATCCAATTTTTATATCCATTTATCTTTCCAGGACGATATCGGATTTGAAGACACGCCTAGAACGTCTGGCAGGATTTCCAGCATCCAGAATGCGCTTATTTTATGTCGACCAAGATCTACGAGATCTCCAAGGACCAGAAGAAATGAAATTCCCACACAAACAACTTTACAGTTATAACATCAGATCTGGAGATGAAATCATAATAGATTCGAAACAGAAACATTAAAGTCTGAAATGGGACGAATATTTTCTGAATGGTGCTTTTTAGAAGTGGATTTGAAGAAGCTGAAAACATCTTTTATGTAATATTGTTTGTTATGGTTGAGATCATAGGATCTGCATATTTCTTCATATGTGTTGGAAGTTCTATAATGAAGTAAAATTTTCAATAAAAATAATAAAACGTAGATGATGCAAAAAAAACTTAAGTGTGATAAATACTTTCAAACTAAAAAAATGTACATTCTGCAGAAAAGAATCAACCTGCTATAAGTTCATCGAATAAACTTATTTTAAGGAAAAAGACAACAAAGGTCATATGAAGAAAAGATTAAATTTAGTTGATGATAAACAAAAAAATGTTTTCGAAAAAGAAGCATCCATCAAATTATGGCAACTGAAGAAATGTTTCGGTACAAATTGAAATCATGTTGGCAATTGATTTTAAATTTTTATGAATGTGAAAAAATATGCGATAATGTCAGTGACAAAAAGGCTGTGTACATGTGGAGAATAAGGTTCATATTCATTACTCATATTGTTCTTTATCTCATTAACTACTGTGATTGTAACACTGTATTAAATGTAATAGTATAAATGTTCATTGTTGATAAATGCATGTTATGTTAACTTACAGTTTTAATTTTAAGAAGAAATACAAAACGCACTAATTACTAAATATAAAAGTAAATGGTTTTAGTTTTGGTTATTTATAAATGCTGCCATTCTACGGATTTGGAATGAAAAAATTTAGGCATTTATGTATTTATAAGTAAGCACCCAAGGATACACCAAAATTGCCTTTGAGGTAACCCTACACAAAACAAAATAAATTCAGACTTCAGGAAATAAAGATTAATGATAAATTGGAATTAAAAACCACAACAAACAAGTAAATCCAAATACAACTAAGCTAGCTTAAATATAAAAAATCAATATTCCCAAAACTAAAACATATTTTAAAAAATAAATCTACTTATATGTTCTTGTTTAGAAATATGATTTTGATCAAAAATTGTCACCAATTATACTTGTAAGATGAAATAAATATTTTTGTATCTAAGTATAAATATAAATAATTATTATATAATAGTAACACTAACTGCACCACTTTTAATGGCTTAATGTAGTGTATTCATAAGATTAAGTGAATTGGAATAAAAGAAAAACAATTGAAATTAAAAAATTATTCACTTAGTTTTTTATTTAAAATTATTTCGACGTTCATAGTATATAGGATATCCCTTTCTTAGGGGAAACTGTTAAAACAAACAAACAAATATTACATTATTTACTATTCAACACCTTTAACATTTTAAGTTAAGAAATTATAACAAATACTCCTAAATTGTTATTTCATTTTATTTTGATGTTAAATTTATATTTCAAAGATAATCAGTAAATTTTTTCAGCTTTTAAATAAATATATAAATAAAATAGTCAAAATCATGTGTAAATATAATGAATGTTATTTATTTTAACAGTTCCTGAAGAAAGGGCCATCCTGTATCTTCAAAATATCAAAATAATCATAAATGAAAAATTCAATAAAATTTTGTTGCTAAAAAGAGTAAATGTAAAAGAAAAATGCCTGGATGATAAGTAAAATCATCTTGAAGTAATTAAGTCGCTCTGTTATTAATTAAGTAATTAACTCAAGTAAATTCCAAAATGTGTTCTAAGCTATACTACTGCAAATAATACTGTAGAAATATTATGGAAAATGTATGATAAAAAAATCATTTATCAAATTTCACAAATATTATTGTTAAATACTCAAATGTACAAGCAATAATATTTATGAATTAATGCTTAATTCATCAGAAATTGTGAGTAATAACAACTAAGTTCTTTACCATAAGAAGATTGTCATTAGTATTAATTATAACTAACTTCTAAAGATTGTACATAAACATAAGCAATGTTCTGATTGTATTGATTAATCGTGAGTATTTTTATAATGATATATTTTGAACAAAAGGAGTACAAACCAAAAGGTTAATATGTAAGAGATCATATTACGAAGACAATATAGTGATGTTATAAAATATGGTCCTAAACAATGTTCAAAAAGGTGAGGTTGCTCATAGAAATAGTAAAAGGTGGATATAAGAAATTGAATTGAAACAAATGATTGAATGTAATATATTATGAAATAAAAATAATCATTTACCTCAATTTGTTTCTGAATTATTATACAATTACACGCTTAATATTACTATTAAATATGAATTAGTGCAAGTTCATTTCAACCTACACTAAATTAATTATTGTAATAAGATGAAACTTTCCAAGATCTGAAGAATATTGGAGCTTATCAACGTAAGTTAAGATCAGGGTAATAATTATCCAATTTTGAATATAGCCAAAAAATCGTTTTCAATTATTAAATAAAAGAGCAACTAAAATTCAAGACAATAAAATAAAACTTTTCAAATAATTCAATGCTGTTGGTACGGTCATCACATAAAATTAATCAAGGCATTTAGATTTTGATTTTCAAAAAATAGCTTTTAGTCATTTTGGTGAAAACAAGGACGTAAGGTATTCAGTGCTTTCAAATGCACATACTCATATAAAATTTTAATTTTTTCATAGTCAAACTATTAAAACTCACTCATCATTAGCCACCAAGAAAACTTAATATTATCGAAAGTAATTAGTAACTGTAGTAATTTCTACTAAAAGTTGTTTAATATAAATTGAATAAATAGATATATGATAATAATAATGGGTAATCTACCCTAGGGCAGGTTTGAATCAGGAAAGAATTTTGAGAAGATTTCTCATTGCCATTTCACACCGCGGTGCCCGAAACGGGATATTTCCAATTGTAATTAGACAGATGGGCTGCTGATTAAAATATATATATATATATATATATATACATATATTTTAAATAATAAGCAACCCATAGGCCAAATTAAAAATGGTTAAAAAAAAAAACATTCTTTGTTAATTATATGTTTGCTTGATGTGTGTCATTATTAAGTAAATCAAATCAGAACAAGGAACACTAATGAACTAAACATTGATAATAATTACAATATATATACATAAGACGTAAAAAACACAATAATTTAAATCAAAAACTAAAAGAAAGAGCATAATGCTTCATAGTCAAAAAGATTCTTATCGGTGAACGATCGAAAATAAGAATAACACTTCACTTTACTAATTACTTCACTTTATCAATTCACTTTAGCACTTCACTTTATTCTCGATAGCCAACAGATAATCATCTTTTTGCTTATGAGTCATTAAGTACTCTTTTAGTTTTTGATTTAAATTATTAGTTATGAGTTGTTATTTCTATAAAAGTTGTTATGAATTTTTTTCTATAACTATTATCAGTTAATAAAAACACATCGAGTATCTCAAATTTAACTTGATGAAGAATGTTTTTCTTCTTATCTTTTCTCAATTCGATAAAAAAATATACAAAATATGTGTATATATATATATATATATATATATATATATATATATATAATTTATATTTATGGTTGTTTACCTTCTACTCAAGATCATGTTGTTGACAGATGTCCTGAAGACGGAACATACATAGTTCCAAAACATTGACAAAAAATAATATTCTTTAAAAAATTGTGGCTTTTTATTACCATTGGTTTCCTTGTTCGAAGCTCAACACAATATTTACAAATCCTAGACTCAAATATCTAATATATATATATATATATATATATATATATATATATATATATATACTATTTGAGATTCAATAAAAATGAATTTGTTATTAAAAACATTTATATCAAATAATAAATATTTAATGACTATATGAATTAAATAGAAATGTGTATACCTTTATGAGTGTATATATACCTGTATATGTCCATGTATATTTGTTTGTGAATAAATATGTACAAAATAAGTTATACTGTGTTCTATGTATTAATATACAAGCCTTTACTTTACCATAAATACTTGTAAATAATAGATTTCTCTATGTTTTACAATAAAAAATTAAAATGTGCTTCAGATAGTAGTTGCTGCAGGTTTCCAAACAAACTTTTCTTTGTTTATGGTTTCTTGGTGATAAAAATTGCATTCAGCCTGAAAATAAAAATATATCAATCAATTGAATCTAATTGATATTTAATTGAAAACAAATAATAATTAAAAATAATGTAAGTATAATTTAATTGAGCAATGTTTTTTTTCCAATACTGCATAATAAATTTTAACAAACCTTAACAATATTAAATACATATTTTAGAATACTCACTCTGTTGTTACAGTATTTGCCGAATCTGCACATTTTTGGATGATAAAATGTGCATTTCATGTTGCTGCACATTGGATGAAATCGACAAATCACACCACTGGTTTTATAACTACTACTGAGGGTTGAATTAGTTGAAACTAAAATGTTTTAATGTCATGACAAATTTTAATATATATATATATATATATATATATATATATATATATATAAGAATAGTTTAAGCGATGAACTGATTTTCTGGCTAATAGGAAGTCAAAAATAATGAATGCAATTACAAAAACTTGTAAGATATATAGTAAAAAATACAATATATAAATATATATATATATATATATATATATTTATATATATATATATATATATATATATATATTTATATATTATGGGTGTTTGCTTACCAACTGATACTGTACTGCTTAATGTTGGTACTGAACCTCCATTTTCAATAGAAGAATTGTAAATACTATTCGATCCACTATGATTATAAATACAATCTCGCTTCTTTATGCAATCGGCACCAAACTTGCATCTCGGATGAAGATATAAACAAGATGAGCCAAATTTGCAATTTGGGAATGCTTTGCAAGGAACTGTGCATGTCAGAGAATTTGAACTTGCAGACGGTGGATGTAAAAACTCACAAGAACTACCAAGTCTGCATGATGGATAATATTTGCATCTCTCCTTTTTTGCAACCTCTGGTAATGCTATGCAAAGAATAAAAAGACAAATCAAATTTGCTTCATTTACTCAATTTGCTTCATTTACTCAACGTTTGTATTGCTTCTTAATAGATTGATAATACCCAAGCCAAATTACAAATGAAAAATAATTGTTGTCTAAGTTATGTACTCCAATATATAAAAGCAATAAAATTATCATAAATTCAAAAAATTAGCCAAATCAAATGTACATTTGATCATATGTATAATACCTGTTCAGTTCAAAAATTAAATTTTGATCCAATAATTGTTGGAATATCTAATAGGAAGCTAATAACCTGTTTATGCAAAGAATATAAATATAAATTAAATAATCAAAGTAAGCTTTGAAATAATGCTTTTAAATATTTGCAAAAATATTATCATTTAAGGGAGTATTCTGGTCTAAGACTTAAAATAAAAATATAAATTTTGTCTTTTTGAATATCTTCAAAGTTTAAATATTCAATAATATTATATAATTACAAGCGGATATTACAAAATTTAAATTCTCAAAATAATATCTAATCACTTGTAAAAAAAAAATGTAATGAAAATTAGTTCGACTTTTTGTTATAGCCTTTCAAAATTCAGAGAAAAACCAGAATATCCCCTTAATATACCTTTATTTGTTCAGTGCATTTTGCTTTTGAAGCGAGCATTAAATCTCAAAATTTTGTCTCATGAGAAAATTATGCTAAAACTACCATGATACCTATGATTTCTGAATGAAAAATTGAATTAAGAAAAGCAATTGCATTTTCTCAATTCAATTCATAATGTCTGAATGAACTATATTGCTGGCACTGAACAGATAATTTTTGCATTAAAACAAAAAGAATAAGAGTTATCCGCAAAAAATGGCAATACATACCGTCAGGTATGTGGTCATATTTACATTGTATTTCTTTCAATTTCACTTTAGTCTCTCCAGAATTAGATTGCATTCTTTGTTCACCAATTGCTTTATCATTTATAATTATTTTAACAGTGTCATTTACTCTTTCCATGATTTCTTTATCTGAATCTTCTATTGTTTTGTCCAATATAGGTGATGTATCACTCAATGTAGTTAAATCAATAACGTTTTCTCGAGTTTTACCCCTTTTTCTTTCATTTTTTGTACTATCATCATCTTCAAAATCTTCTCTGTTATAAACAATAGGGTATGCTTATGTTTTTCAGGAATTTTAGATACTGATATTTCAGATTTAGATTCCTTAGCAATAATTGGAGTACTGGTTGAAACCATTTTTCTTTTCCTTGAAGGAAATTTGCTTGTGTCCAAACCTTCCAGAGTAACAACAAACTGTGGACTTAACATTTTCTTGTCATCAGCAGTAGGAAATCTAAAAAAAATAGATGGATTTGAACAATATATATGTATGCCACAGATTTTTTTTACAAAATCAGCAAACTATGCTGAAAACATTACATTTAGTAAGAAAAATATTAGAAAAGATTTATATCACATATATAATTGATGTTAAGCTGGATTTAGCTATATTAAAAGTATTATTACCATCAACAAAAAATATTTAAATAGTATAGAACTAATTGATTGATTCCTACTATAACTTACAAATTTATTTCATCTTCCATCTCAATATCGTCATTGCCTGCATCATAGCTGTTAATCTGACTTGGAATATATTCTTGAAAACTCGAAGTGCTCTCAATACTATCATTCAGCACAGGTGCAGGCGTATACTCCATACTGTCTTCATCAACAGGCAAATTCCGACAGTCATTTCCAACAGTTATTCTTATATCGCTCTTAGGCCCATAGTTTATCTTCTTGTGTCCGTCTATCCTGAATCTTTTAGTATATAACTCTAAGGGTTTTCTTACAGGCTTTGCTACTACTTGTGCTATAGACTTTTGGGCATCAGCCATCGCTTTAAGTAGAAGATTTCGATTTGCTTGTAATCCTGGAGGTAATTGAGGTCTAGGTTTTACTTTAACTATACTTGATAATGAAACTGGTGGTACATCATCTTCATTTGAGATAGTGGATGAGATAGCTACAATTTTAGAGCTTAATCGATTATTTGATTCATTATTGACACGTGCTCCTAATCTGCTGCGAATATTAGAACGTTCTGGTTTATTTTCGACAACAGATGGTAAAGATCTATTCCGCTTTGACTTGTCAATCATATTTGATAAAAGAATATCTTTCACTCTATTCTGAGCTAAAGGATCTATTTTTGGATTCCTTTGAATTGATCTTTGTGTTACTTCTTTCTTAGGTGGGGTGGTAGATATAATTTCAGTTACTTTTGTTTCCATATTTCTTGTAGATCTGGGTGATTCCTCACCTAGTTCTACGTTGTCATTACTCAAATGTAATACATCATCATCTGAATCAGATTTCATAAATTCAATTTTCTGTCTAGTTTTTCCTACATTTTTATCAACTGCTTTTACATTCGACAACTGTTCACTAATTTTAGAAGATTCTTTTTCTATCTCAGATATGGTTGGTATATCAAAATCATCAACTGGATGAGTATCCTTTTCTAATGGCTTTGAAACCACTGTATCAGGTTTTGTTTGATTTGTTTCAACTTTCGTATTTTCATCCAATAAGTTGGCTTTGCTTTTTACTGTTTCTAATAATTGATTGGCTAGAACATCTGTAATTTTTATATCTGAACCTGCATTTTGTTCTGTTTTTAGTCCCGCCGGTTTTTCAATAGTTTTCCTTGATTTTTCTTCCTTTCTTGTCTTTTTGTGTTTTTTATCTTTTTTCTCTTTTTTTATAGAAACTGATGAATCTGTAGATGACTGATGGGATAATGTTTCCTTAGGTGCTGAAATGTAAATAAACAAACATGTTAAAGAAAACATTAACTACATTAACAATACTTTTACAACGATCATTCTAGATACATCATTAAATAAAAGTAAAAGCTATTAGATTATTGTTAAATACACAATTCTAGGCTACAATTCACAATATATACCTTAAGTGAAAATTTTTAAAAATATTAAAAACTTGATGAATTTGTTGCCTTAATTAATATTAATTAATTAAAGAAAACATGGTAAATTAATTGAAAGGTTAATAAATTAGTAGTTCATAATAGTACTACAAAAAATCTATGTTTAAATAATCTGTAAGAACGCATATTCTTGTTTTATTGATACTGCATTAAAAGTAAGAAATAAATTAGATAATCATTAATTATTTACCTGGTGGTGGTATTTTGACCTCTTGCAATTTTTGCAACACTTGATGTAACCAATGCACAAATATTTCTGTTTTTGTTCCAAGAAATAATTGTAAGTCATCTTCCATTTGTGTACGAGATCTTTTATTTGCAACCATAACCATAACATAATCTGGAAGCTCATCATCCACATAACAGCCTAATTCATTTAATTTAGCTTTAATAGCTGACTGAAATTGTTATTGTAATTATAGTACTGATAATTCAAAATTGTTATATCACAAAATATGAATGAAAGAAACAAACCCGCATTTTGTAACCGACTTCTGATCCTACCGTTTCCATTTTATAACACTCTAAAGATCAATAATTATACTAAAGTATTTAATAAAAGGTTATCTATTTAAATTGCTTTCATTTAATGTATTTGTGTCAGACATAAGTGTTACTTTTGCTCATTAATTCACCGGTGTTGTGAAAAAATAATTTATAGTGAATATCTTAATTAAATGAGTTTAGCATCATTTATAAATTAATAAAACTGACAACACAAGCTTACATAAATTGTACCAAAATATCTAACAACTAAATGAAATATGTCAAAAGTTCCTCCATTTGTCTAAATTGTCAGGAGTCAAATATGCACGCTTAATTTTTGTTTTGTTGCATACTTGCGCTTTGCATAAATCGCGCGAATTTATGAAAAAGGTGTATGAATTTATTTTACAAAACAATGATTTAGCGAGCATGTTATTCTTCTAACTCGAGAAATAGGAATAAATTGTTTTAGATATATATATATATATATATATATATATATTGAGATACATAATATTAATATTTTAATTATCATATTTAACAATATATAATATGTTATATTTTAAGAAGACCTCTTTAGAAAACCTAAGAAAACAACATTTTGATTCAACACTCCACAATAATTTATTTAATTTCAAACCTGTCTGGAATATTATAAAATATTGTTAACAACAACTTTTTACAATACTACTTAATTTCAAAATCAAATGAAACAGATTAGAACCACTTTCAATATACAAAAGTTAAAATTTATTCACAATTTATTTTATATTTTAATAATTTAATAAAATAATTTTGACATAAGAGGGTAGAATGGCTGTTTCAAACACTTAAGAACCCAGTTAGATAAGTATGATATCAGAAGCTGGAGTTAAAAATAATTACCAAATTCTTTATCAATTTAATGTAACTTGCCAGGTCTATCAAAAATAAAAGGCACATTAAACTCTTTAATATCTATTGAAGGTGTTGCTGCAAGATCCCTTCTGATAAATATTTACTTCAAATAGTGTTAATTCAAAGAGCAAGATTGATCAAACTCAATAAATCAGACCAATACATTAATAAAATGTTTTCACCCATTTACATAATATTTGCAAAATTATATATAACTTAAATTTAATCTATATCATAGTTTAGTTAATAATATCTTAGTGATCTACGTTAGTCAGCTCATCAATACTCCAGTCCTCATAAGAATTATCTGGTAAATAACGTCTAATGATAATTGGGATCTGAAATAATAAACTTTAATTAGCAAAACAGTTACTGCATTAAAACATAATTGTTTATACACTACTTAATTGTGAATTGTGTATATATTTCAACATTATCAAATATCCTTTCACACAAAACACATTTATTAATAAAACCTTTCAGAAAATAATAAATAACTAGCTGTAAGTGGAATTCTGTCTTGAGGCAATTATGGCATCGTGCCTTGAGGCAAATTGCTGGAACTTCCCGCACCGTAACGAAATGTTCGAGGAATATTGAATGTTTTCAAATATATTATTATAAATATTGTAACATTGTCTAATATTTATAAGAATTATATAAACCGAATTGCAGAGTTGAAATTATTTCTAAAGTATATTAGAACTATAGTCAGAATTAAAAATAAAATCTGAAATATTTTCGATATACAAAATACTAAAAAAAAAAAAAAAAAAAAAAAAAAAAAAAAAAAAAAAATCCAAAATCAATTATTTTGTTAAGACAAGCAGAAAGTTCTTTGAATTATTTAAATCGGACGCTTAGTTCTCTCAAAAACTGCCATTTTTTACATAATTAGCTCCGTATCTTCGAAATGGCTGGGCCTGCCTTTGCCAAAAACTGATAAACACTTCTCCCAATCATTACTAATTGAATGTTTTTTAGATCATTCAAATCGGATACTCCGTTCGCTCAAAAATTCGATTTCTATTTTCTGCACTCTTTGCTCCGTATCTCCGAAACGGCTGGACCTGCCTTTGCCAAAAACTAATCAGCTCTTTTCCCAATCAATAGGAATCGAATGTTTTTTGAACCATTCAAATCGGTTGATCCGTGCGCCCTAAAACGTGACTGGAAATTTGTATCCACACATACATACACACACACACACACACACACACATCCATTTTTTCTGAGGTATGCCAAAACGTTCAGAAACCTTCAAAACGTCGAGAAATGTAAAAATTTTCAATTCCGATTTTCGGCCCATTACAATAACTTACCCTACGGGAAGTTAAAAAAGAATAGTTAACGTAACAATTTAAATAATATCACCTTTCGTTCCTTTAATTCCTTCATAGCTATTTGAAGAGGATCAGTTTCGCCTTCAAGTTCAACCATAATAGGTGCACACATTGCTATTTGTAACGCCCTCGTACCTAAGACTCTTGCTCTTTCGTATCTAAAGAAATATAGAAAATAGATTATAAAAATAATAATAAAGATAGTTAATTATAATTACATAAGAAAGAACTATTAATAATATCTGTCAATACATTAGTAAACTCAAACTGAATTGAAAAAAGAGTCAAATGAACAAATTTTGTGCATATAATTAATGTTATTGTGTTCACTCACTTTGTCATATACTTTGTAGTGATTCTTTTAGACTTGGCTACGCCACCACCAGCTTGACCAGCTGACAAAACATCAATATTTTCTCCTTCCTCCTAAAAGTAGAGTAAGATTTAAACAAAATGCATGTATTAAATAAAATCTAAATTATTTTGCAATCTGCAATTAATCTGCTATCATTAAACTTATTATCAGTTTGCCAAAGTTTCTTCGAGTCTAGACAGACCATGGGCAAACCTTGAACTTACTATCTGATGTACTATAATGAAATATGTATAACAAGACATGACCGTCATTAAAATGAAAAGGAGTAATTGATAAATAAAACCAAGGAACTGAAATAGCGAGCAAGCAAATTAAAGATTGAGACACAAATGCCATTTTCCGCATTTTTATAATGTGTAAATCTATTGCTAATTCAAACTTAGTATCAACTAACAAGGTAACGTCTAAACAATCCATATATTTATTATTTATTATACTAACTTCTTGTTGCTCTAATTCTTCAATGTGGTCATCGTCTTCAACATCTTCGAAATCATCGGGTACACTAAAATGCAAACATTAAATAAACGCTCAATTTAATTCATAATATTACACAATTCAAGAGACTTACTCATCGCCATCGTATTCCTCGTCAGCCATTGTTTTAAATGAAATATAAATTGAAACGATTTAAAAACGCGTTGAAATATTACAATGCGTACGAACCATAACCAAAATCAAAACGTCAAACTTTTGTAAATGGTGCGAAGTATGTGCGAAGAACATTCTCGAGATTCAGGTGTGACAATAGTAAAACGAAAAATGTTTTGAAGTTTGTTGGAACACGTTTAAAGTCAAAATAACAAAATGCAGTCATTATAATAATAGGTTTTATGCATAGATAAACAAATATATATAGTTTTATGGTTTTATCATTTATATTTTACTGGATTTGGATGTACGTGTAATTTTTTTAACTGCTGTCAATTTTTATATATATACAAATATTTGGAACTTGAATTCGTGTAAATTGCAAGACACAACTATGAATTATACAAAAAGGAGATTAATAACAGGATCTGATAATATTATTCCTAAATCAAGTGAGGCAATCATGCACGATCCGCTAAGTAATTTTGATCCCATGAGTGAACATTACTACTCAGATCAAAACAATTTTGTTGCTGGCGGTAATTTTGATGCCAACTACAATTCTAAGGGTCCTAAAAGATCTGCTCCAATTGGTAAACTTTTTATTAGAAATATTCCAGAAGATTTGACTGAAAGAGGTTTAAAAAACATTTTCAGTTTGTTCGGTGATGTAATATTTTGTTCCTGCGTACTTCGCAGGATGGTTTCAATATGGATTAATTAATTATAAAAGCATAGATATAGCTATGGCAGCTATTCATGGTTTACACTTGAAGCAACCTCATAAGTTATCAATTAAATTTTCAAATCAATCAAAACAGACAAAAACTAAAGAAATAGAATCTTCTACTGATACAGTTATTGCCGAACCACCTCCACCTACATGTATCAAGCCCAAGCTTCCATCAATTTTATCAGATGCTAGAAAAAAGTTCTTGCAGAGTGATATATATAAAGGTGTGGAGGATCCAACAGTGATGCACAATAATTATATTACAAGACTCAGCCAGTGCCCGAAATCTCGCACTAAACGATATGAAGCACACAGAGCAAAAATCTTGAGTCTCTCTGATGAGGAAATTAAAACAACTTTTGAAGTAAACCCAACAAACTACAGATTATGCAGTTGTTGCTCAGAACCTGCTGTTTATTGCTGTGCTATATCTTCAAATTATTATTGTTCACTTTACTGTCAAGAAAATATGAAAGATATTAAATAAGAAAGAACTCGAAGAGTTTCTTCATTTTAATGTGATGTATTTCTTCCATTCTACTTTTGATGTTATGTAGATTGAACCAAATAGTATTTTTTAATTATATATTTTTATTCTCATAGTTTTAGTTGATATGTTAGATTAGATTTTTAATCAAGGAATTAATTTGTATTGAATTTTAATGTTACTCTTTTTATAACATATATAGCTCTTTTTATAATTTAGTAATTGCGAAAATCAGTAAGATTATTCCATACATAATGTTCCCCTTAAATGGACAATAAAATTGACATTTATAATTAATTGTTTGCTGTCTTATTGTATGTATATATAAGAGTTTCAGATTTGATATTAATCAAAAATGAGTGCAATATATCATAGCACATAATAAAAGAAAGTATTAGTTGGGAGTAGATTTGATTCAATAAAATCTGAATTTACTAATTGCATTTATAATACTATATATTATACGTTCTCTTTTATACAATTTTTAGATATTTGAACTAATTTACATATTCTTTTCTGTGATAAATAATTTGAAGATGTTTCAGCTATGATGGAATTGAAATAGATCCAGTGATAATTCTTGTAAAGTGGAATGCGATACAGGATGTTCACTTAAAGCAGGCACTGATGCAATTTCAGCAGCAGTTAAATTCTTAAGACTTTCTTGTACAAGATCATCCACATTTTGGTATGATTCTAAGCTGTGAACTGCATTCAAATTTCCAGCTACATTTACTAAGTTCGGGGTACTGGTAGTTAAAGTTATACCATTTGTGCCAATATGTCCAGGTTGAGATAATGTCTGATCGTTTTCTATTAACATATCCATATGTTCTTGCAGAGTTGTAGTTTTATTGCTTATTAGATCATCCTTTTCAAAAACAGGTTCGGTAGAACATAACATATCTAAATCTATTGAATTATTGCTTAAATTGGATTTGTTTTCCTGCATAGATGTTATTGTATTTTCTAGAAGTTTATTTATAGTGTTAGGACTAGAAGTTTTTTGTTCTGTGGTATTATTGTGGGAAGACATGAATGACTCCTTTAATTTGTAACAACCTGGCTTGAGATCCACTAGCCTAAAATGTGAAAATCATTACACTTATATGCATTTTCATATACGTATTCATAAACTTAAATGTGTGCTTTATATTGAATGCAGTTATGGAAACATTACTTTGAAATGTATTTCATACTTGATAAACCCTAGCAACAAAAAAATTTAAATAGATTGTTTCAATGCTGTAGAATGCACAGAATTCAATTAAATATATTAATTGTATCAATAAATTAACAAAAATTCCTGAATGAGTCTAATCTTTATACAAACCTGGAAATGGTTTCGTTAACATTGACCATATTTCCCTCCTTTCCATGAGGCACTTCTACGGCATCATTTGCAAAGTCTTTTAATACACCATCCTTAATAAAATGTTCAACCTTTTCTATAAAATTTTTCAATTCGTCATTTATGATTTGCCATCTTTCAATGCCATTATCTTTGGCCATAACTTTTGTTATCAAACCACTAAATAAATCTGTATTGTCTTTGTCAGAGTTATCACTAACAGAGTCAAAAATATCACTGTTGCTACTTGCTGAATGATTCGGCTTTGATTTTGAATGGGTAAATCTTCTCTGCTTCCTTCTAGCTTTATATTTTGGAACATTTGCAGCCTTTGGTTCAATGCCTAAGTCATCAATACAGCCATGGTCCGGATACATCTCAAGATGCTTGGACATTTTACCATATCCCAAGTAGAACTATTAATAAAGGAAAAAATTATACTGGGCATATATATATATATATATATATATATATATATATATATATAATATATATATATAATGTCTCAATGTCGAACAAAAAAATCTAATATATATATATATATATATATATATATATATATATATATATATAATCTAATTATTAATATATATACTTATTCATAATTATGTAATTTACCTTATTACATGTGGGGCATCTAAACTTGCTATTGATTGCTTTTGCTCTTTTTGGCAAATCATTAAGAAATGTGTTCTCTGAATTTTGTGTAACATCTTCTGTCGCCACACAACTTCTATGATAAAAAATTTATCTCATTGTTTTGGATGTTCAGAACAATTCAATCAAAAAAATAATCTATTACAACTCACTTTGTCAAATGGGCATCCGTTTCATTTGCACCAACAGTTCCATTAGCTACAACTGTGTCAGTTGTATCACTATTTGGTAATGATTCATTACATGTAACTGTCTTTGATCTTGTAAGTTCAGATTGTGGAATATTATTTAAATTATTAGATTTGAGCACTGATTCTTGTATTTCTTCTGCATCCACCCATTCATCTTTATCACTGTCATCTCCCGTTCTTTTAAGTTTCTTGAAATCATGTAACATTCTGTTTGGCGGCCGAATTACTCTCCCAGTTCTAGTTCTAGGTAACTGAAATAAGAAATGTTACATAAAACATTAATCTTATTTTCTTAAATATTCTTTTTTAACAAAAAAGTGTTTAAATTTCACGTAAAATTTAAGAATTTCAAAATGAAACACATGTATAAGATGTTAAATATTCTTTTTTAACAAAAAAGTGTTTAAATTTCATGTAAAATTTAAGAATTTCAAAATGAAACACATGTATAAGATGTTAAAAAAAATTAAATAACCTGATTATCTTTTAGCACACTCTCAGGTGAATCTGCTGTTGTATCTTGACTTAGTTTAGCTTTTCTTTTTCGTTTTTCTTTGCCAAGATTATTAGTATCACTATCTGAATAAAATTATTTAAATCATAACATGCATATTTCAATTACATAGAATGAAAATTATAATTTTAATATAAAAAATGATTATTCTTGTTAATGAGTGCTAAGTAATATAATATGAATAAAGTATAATTGTACTTTACTTAAGTATACTTCTATTATAGATACATAGAATAAAATAGTATGAATATATAAATATTTTTAAAAAAATATTGGTCCATATTCTTGAAAAACACTAGTATATAAATTGATATTATTTTAATTGGCATTAAAAAATGTATAAGTAAAACCATTAGTATAATAAGAATATGGATGCCTAGCATCTAAATAAATTTTTAATATTTTTTAGAAAATCAGGCACATAATCCTTAATGTTTTTTTTTAACTTTCTATAAACTCTTTATACAAAAATTGAAACAAATCATAAAATATTCCAACTTTGAACTAAAGATTAGCAAATATTTTTAATATTGTTTTTTATACTAGTAACAATAATTTGATGATTTATGATTCTAGCCTTAGTTGTACAGTAATCTGCCTATTACAATTCATGCTTAAAAAATTATAAAAATTTCCAATCACTTTTACCTGGATCTGCAGGTTTCAAGTTCAATTCATCTGGATATACAATGCGATAAATAATTCTCGTACGAGTTTCAGAATCATAAAGTACTACTTTATGAGGTTCCCTGAAATGGTATATATATATATATATATATATATATATATATATATATATAATCAAATTATTTCAATTAATAATAATAATCTTAAAATAATTACTATATAACTATTCAGTTGTTTTTTATATAATATTGGTAACATATTTCACAATAAAATACCTGTCCCCACATTGTTGGTGGGGTGGTCTTTGCTTCAAAACGCCAGCTATCTGTTGCAACTGACTTTCGTTCAATGAATGCAGACTGAAAAAATTAATTATCTTAATCAAATAAAGTTATTTAGTAAGTGTGTTGGCAAAACCTCTACCTTTGAAATGTTTGTCCTTTCTGTAATAATTTAATAGGATTTTCAGTTGATCCTAAAGGTTTATTTGTGTCTACAGTAAACTTTTGCATAGCTTTCTTTAAAACACTTGCATCAGAATCAATATTAGTTTTGTTTCTATTTGTAAGAGGCACTATACTATCTTCCAGTTTTGAGTTCGAAGGAACAGTTTTATTCAAAAGATTTATATCAATACGCACACTTTTGTCTGAATGAGTATCATTTTCTACATTTTTATCATTGAATACATTACCAGCATATACACTTTTCATTCCATTATTACCTGTTGCACTATTGTTTTGTGGATCTAATATATACTCTATTTTATATGTTGGTAAATCTTTACTGGTCGTTTTGGTGTTATTTACATTCATTCCATTATTACTTGTTACAGAATTGCTATCTAAATCCAATCTATATTCAACTTTGTATGTTGAATCTATATTAGAAGTTTTTGTGCTATTTATTTTTATTAATTTAGGTATGGCCTTTGAATTAGATTTTATGAGAGATGCTGTCTTATCACTTAAAAAACTTTGTGTTTTTGCATTTTGATTATTTAACAAAGAATTTATTGCAGAAGGTTGAAGTTGTGTTTGTGCATTTGCATTTGTCGTCAATGCACCATTTGGATTTACTAAGATAGACCTAATATTAATGGGCCTTTTAGCTGGATTTATTATTACAGGGGCCTTAGCACTAATTGATTTCAATGTATCAAGTTTCTCTGTTGATTTACTGTTTAATGAACTATTTTTAATCAAGGATTGACCAGGTAAAGCGATTGCATGATTAGAATTTACTATAATATTTGGTTTTATTGGTTGACTAATTACAGACACGTTTTTTGAAGCATTTGGTGCTAAAGTATACTTTATAGGTTGTGACGTACTAGTACATTGTACACTTTGTGTAATTTGAGTACTTATAATATTTTTATTCACTTGGTTATTATCCTTTATATTAATTAAACTATTTTGTAAGTATGTAGTACCTTCATCATCGTCATTAAATGATAGCAATTCATTTATATCATCAATATTATTGCAAGGCTTTGGTTTAATTTGTGTGGTTCGATTTAAAAGACTAGAATTATTTTCAGCTGGCTTAAGAACAAACGATATGATATTTGAATTAGACTTAGCAGGAACGTTATTTAAGTTTTCTGTACTAATGATATCACTACCAACTGAAGATATTGTTTGTGTAGATTTAAGTACATGGTCTTGCATTGAAGATGAATTAGTAAAGCTTTCTGATCCATTTTCAAAAAGTTTCAATCCCAATTGCAGTGCTTGTTCAGCATTTAATTGTAAGCCATTCAAGCTTATGGTATTTGCCTGAAAATTGATGAGTGATAAAAATTAATTGAAATAGAACATCATCGAAACTTATAACCTATTTATACTGTAAATGAATTTATTAGAATTAAAACAAAATAATTTTGTAAATGAATTCTGAGGTTCGGCAGCATTGAGGGATCTTAAGTATTGTCTACAATAAATGATTACCTGTGTATCATCATTCTGTGAAATAGAATATTCAATGTCATCTGATAAAGAATTTAATAATGCTTTTTGTATCAAAGACGTTCCTCTAAAAGTCATGGTTATGATGTGTTGACGAATTCATATAAAAATACACTTGCGTTCAATTTATTAGTTATTCATTATTATATTTTCTATTTTTGCAAACGTCTTTTGTTCACCAAAAATTCACATGGTAAACTAAATACAAACGAGGTAAACTAAGTTTTGCACAAAGTCACTATTTTCGTAATTATATCAAATGATCTAAAATGAAATGACAGTTCGAAGCAAAACATTGGCAGCGCTATTAAATGGACGTGTTGGAATGGTGAACTAAATAAAATTATTAGGGCTCGTCCACACTCATAATAAATAACTAATTAAAAATAAATGTTAACCATTGGCCCGGATTTTTCTAGGAATAATATTTGTCCCGGTTTAACTAAATATTTGAACAAGTTTTTATTTCTAATAGTAATTTTTAATATATCTTATCTAATCTATACTAATTTTTACAAAATTATGGTATTTGCCTGAAAATTCATGAGTGATAATTTTCGAAAATGGATCATAGTCATAAAAAGTATGTATAATAAAATAAAATACTTAAAATATATACTCTTTTTTATCTATGTATGTATATACTCGTGCTCATGATAATAAAGTTAATATTGAGAAAATTGTACACAATCAGTGTCGTTCAGAAAAATATAAATAGTTATGCTTACTCACAACCAAAAATTCTGACTTTGTTTATTAATTTTATTATTATCATTATTTGCTTTTATTTTATATTAAATCATCATAATACAGATATCAGTTTATTGAAAATACTATCCTTTATTTTGTACTCTATTTTATTTATATTTATGTTACAAAATGTTATATTAATTAGCAGTTGCATCAGATATTGTAATTCAGATAAGTAATTCTGACTAAGAAAAAACTTCCCATCATACAAACACTTATTTTTATTATATACTTAAATAATTTTATGTATAATTTTCATTTAAGCTATTTATCTTAACTAAATTCCCTCTTTACAAGTTTCTGTACTGGACTGAAATAAACAAATTTGGTTGTCTTAACCATGCCTTAACATGATATGGGAACTGATGAGATTATCCGATAAGTAATTTAGATGGTTAATTAAAATTGACACTTATTAATTCTTGAGCTAATTCAACTGAAAAAAAATATAATGAACTATCAATACCACAATTTATTAGCAAAATTGCAACAGAATGAATGCATTACACTGCTTAACATTTATTACAAATTGATAAGTGGAAAAACACACTTTAATACATATATATTATTAGACAATATGCAAATATAATGAAGTTGTAACATTTATGTAATATTTGTGAAAATGAAAGTAGTGAAAACAAATAGTCAGTAAAATAAAATAAATTATATATAAATTCTTGAAGGCATGAAATTAAAGTGAAATAAACTTCACAGAGATTTGGTAAGAAGGTCTTTCGTACTACCTACCAAATAAAAATATTTAGCAATTGTTCCTGAATATAATAAAACATCTCATGTTTTACAAAGATCTATCTATTGCATCAAGTTGTTCTTGGCCAGCAGAATCGTTCATTCCATCTTCCTCCATATCAACATCATCTCATCGGGTTCTTTCTTGATATCTGCAGGAGGTTTTTCATACACTGGTTCTGATGGACTGACTACTACCCCACTCCATACAGTCATTTCTTTAGCTATTGACGAATCCCCTTCTAAGCCTAAAAGCTGTTTATAACCCCCATGTGATAAAATTCTTAATAAGGTCTGAGCTGTCATACATATCATATCTTGTTGTTCTAATGAAAGAACTGTGTGAACACGAAAATGAGTACTCTCACAAGGATCTGAAATTCCTGATGAACCAGGAAGGAATAATCCTGATGATAACAGCTGAAATACCCTCCTAAAGGCTTGGTTCAAAGGCAAAGCTTGTCTACTTGGATTATTCATTATTGCTAAATGGGCTAGGAGATCTAACATCCAGGGTGTTAATCCATCTAACCCTTCAAATCGGTTCTTCATATCTCTGAGAATTCTTATCAATACTTTAATTGAAGAATGATGTGCATTTTCTTCAAACCAACGGCTATGCCGTATAGCTGAAAGATGTTTATGAAGTACTTTATAATCTAAATGGGTTTCTGGTTCTACTTTCCTGATGTTTTGTGGTAAAGTTGTGATCATAATGCACACAACTGCTTCTTTGTTTGATACATTAAAACCACTAGCTGTATTCTCTGTTGAGATCACATTGTTCGCAGGAATGACTTCAGTTTTCATTGAGGCTTTGAGGTCTTCCTCTACTTTTTTTCTCAGTGCATCTACTATCTCTTTTGTGGGTAAGCTTTTTAAAATCACTACTATATCTGCAACATTATTACCTGTCAGCATAGTACCCTTTTTGAAGCTCCCAACTTGACGAACTTCTTCTAACTGACAGCTAGTGAATTCGCCGGGTGCTACTATAAGATTATCAAGTACATTTTGTATCTTCGTCACTAAGTTTAAAATAGCAGTTTGTTCGTTAGGGGTTGGGGTTAAATCGGTATTTCGTTTCAATAGGGCTTGTGTGAACAAAGTGTCGTCTACTTGGGGCTGAGCTCTGGGAAATGCAAGTTCGCACATAGTCAAATCAAAAGGCTGTCTTGGTATGAAAGTGCGGCTTTTGAATCCTCCTCGACCCATGCCTCTCATATTCCTTCCTCGAATTCCTCCACGAACCATTGTGAAATCACTTCAATTATTATTAACAATCGTCTAAGGTTATAAAACTAAATGTTATTGCTCGAGTTATTCACGAATAATGCACATCAATAAATACACTGCTCATAGAGAGGTTCCTCGTCTTTGACGAGATCTGACAGTCATTTCCAGCTTTGAACTGAGCTAACTGAGCATAGATAAAAAAAACTCCCAAACATATGACACACGATATCGTTTTTCTCATCCGATAATCAATCCATATTATTATATAGTCTAAGAAGAAATCCTACACGCTGTTATAAATCCTTATATTATATTATGTTATATATGTTATCCTAGACCAGGCTTGCCTGGAGAAGGACAAATGGGTATACAGTTCTATATTATATCACTTCGCGCGATTTTTCACAGGGATTTTCAAAGAGGAAATGATTCTACTGGTCATCTACTGGTAGAGAAAAAAGTTCCTTTTCATATTTCCGCTCTCGCCAAAATTGAATCCTAAACTGCTACCCAATCCGCTTAATTAATCCGCCAGATAAATCTATTTTTTAAATAACCCTCATTTATTTATTAGGTAAATATGTAAATATTATAATATTATTAAATTATATAAAATTTCAAAGAGAATCTGAAATTTAATAAAAACAATCATGATTATTTTGTGCACATTGCTTGATTTTCAGAACAATGATAATTAAATCATACAAATGTTAATGATTTTATTGTAGTTTTATATACAACTAATAACATATAAAGATCGAAATATCTCAACCAAATGCTCGAATATTTAACACAATAGCATTCACTTTTTCCCCTTTAATTGCTTTCAATTTAGTTTCAGTTCTCATTGGTAACATTAACAGTACACTAGCCCTTGGAACACTAGCAAGTCTACTACTAATCTGATTCCCAGTAGTTTGCGCCAAGTAACACTTCTTATTAGGACACCATGTGGCTGAAGCTCTGGCATATTCCGGTCTTGGATCGAGAGATAAATCTTCAAGTAGCTGAAATAAAATATTAAAAATAAGTTGATTTAAAGATTGATTGAAATAAGTCAACAGTGAACTTGACCAACCTCAACTTCAATAACTGGATGATCTACATTTTCATACTGCGCTAATTTTTTCAAATGTGGTATGACAAACAATTGGAAAGTAACAAAGGCAGACACTGGATTTCCTGGTAAAGCAAAAATTAGTTTTTGTCTGGATTCTGTTCCGGTTTGCATCACAAAGCTAGCAAATGTTGTAGGCTTTCTATAAAATTATAAATTTCATCAAATGATTCTTACAAGGCATGCACAAATATTGTCTTATTAATACCCTGGCTTCATGTTCACACGTCCAAAATGTATTACAGCTGACAATTCTTTCTGTAAAATTTCTTTTAAAATATCTCTATCACCCATTGAAACACAACCAGTAGATATAATTATATCACATTTATTTTGAAAAGAATTCTTGAGAGTGTTACTCATTTGTTCATAACTGAAAATAATCATTGTTAAGCAGTCAAATGATTTAAAAAAATGCTCAAGAGGCTCTTCGTATGCCTCAACACTTGATAACTTTAATTATTAGTCAACTACTTACTCATCATGCACAATTCCCAAATCAACGCCACTCATATTATTTTCTTGTAACAAATTCATTAACATTATTTTATTTGAGTCAAAGATATGACCTGGCTTCAATTCAGAGTCAAAATTTTGCAACTCGTTACCAGTTGAGAGAATACCTATCTGATAAGAATTTATTTATGTTTATTATTGTAATACCAATTTCTTACATTTTAAAAAGTATATTGGTAAAGTAATACATTATATCATGTCATATGGTAATGATATTTCAGTGAAAAATACTCACTGTTGGAATGCGGTGAACCTTAACTGTATTAATACCAATAGATGCAAGTAGACCAATTTCAGATGCACCAAGTACAGTTCCTTTAGTTAAGACTAATGTGTTTTTTGGTAAATCAGATCCAACCTCCCTATAAAGTATTCAAACAATAGTATCAACAAATATTGTGTAAATTATAAATTTTGTCTAAGAAAAATCAACAAAATCTTTGCATTAGAATCAAAAATTGTTAAAAAACTAGGAATGGAAATCTGTACTCTAAATGAAGCAAATATAAATATTCTGGACAAAACTAATCAAGTAATCAAATAGTAATATTTATTGCAAAATTATCAAGTACTTTATAATTTCCATATAATTAGTTTAACCAGACTTACCTAATATCTTGTCCACTTTTTGCTTTAACCATGACCTCGATCTGCAATTCTTGAGTACCATCCTCACTATGTTTCAGAAGCTTTGTATCTTCAACTTGAATTACACAATCTGCAGAATCTGGAACCATTGCCCCAGTATTGATTCTAACACATTGTCCTGGTTTTAATTGGATGTCTGCCTATATAAAATTATAAAGTTTATATATATATATATATATATATATATATATATATATATGTAATCATGAATTTAAAGAGAAAATTCTTACATAATCTCCAGCACATATGCCTTGCAAAACATCTCTTGGTCCAACTTCATCAGATGAAATTGCTGCATAACCATCTTTGATTGATGCCCGAAACGGCGGTAATGAAATTTTAGAGTATATATCTTCTGCCAGAACTCTATTTAGACATTTGTCTATTTTCAGGCTAAGTTATAAATTAATTTTACTCAACTAATAACATTTAGTATTAATTGTTTAACTGACCATTCTAATTTCTCTGCAAATTCTTTTAATAATGCACCTGATGAAATAATGTCCTTAATGATGTGATTTGCTTCATCCACACTTAACATTGGATATGGTGAAGATCTCAAACGATAAGCTATTTTATTCACATCTGTCTTTAGATAAAATACAATCATAAATATGACTAGGGCTATAAGTGTAATTCAACTTACATTAGAGTGAGTATGTCGACAACCACTTTTTTGGCCTTGCATTTCTTGATGAATTGCTTTAACATCTTTCTGCAAATCTCTAATTAAGCATATAGCATGTGGCAATGCAGTATGTATAATTTCAAAGCATTCTTGTGATGCTTTTTTACTTCCAGGTAAGTTTACTATAAGAGTAGAATCACATATACCACTAATTCCTCTAAGAAAATAAAACAAATAAGCTTGAAAAAATATGTGCTATATAACTATTCTGATTCATTTTTTTGCAACTACCTAGATAGCATAGCATGAGGTGTTACTTTAAGGCTTCCACTCATCATAGCATGAGTTATTCCTGAAGCTTCTTTTTGGATAACAGCTCGAGTTGCTTCAGGAGTAACATCTCGAGGGCTGAACCCAGTGCCACCAGTTGTTAGGATCAATGCTACATCTTGAGATATTAATGTTTCTAAACATTCCTACAATAAATAGATATTATTGAAATTATCTTTATTTTGGACATGATTTGAAAACCCAAATACTCAATTAATTATGTATTAATTAAATACACCTAAGTCTGTTTTTACACGGTCTTTTTGTACACGGTTTTGATATAACACGGTTTGAAAATTGAATATTTTTAATTTTTTTACACGATTTTATTCCATTTAGCACGATTTGAAATTTTATGTACTTAAATTTTTTTGTCAAATTTAATTTTTGCGAAGTATGTTCATATCACAAAAAAGTATTTATAAAAGAAAAAAGTCTGAAACCATCGATAGTATCAGAATTATATATTTGATTTAATAAAATAAACATGAATCCTTGTTCTTAAAAATTCTTGTTTTTCACTAATTTTAATAGGTTTTAGAGATTAGGAACAAATCACCCATTTTTGTATAAGATCAATGTCTTTTTTTACACGTTTTTTTTTTTTAAACGGCTTCTTCTGGAACCAATCTACCGTGTAAAAACAGACTTAGGTGTATATTATAAATATGATATAAAGTTAGATGTAAAGCAATATGTGTTATTTGTAGAAAAAAATATTGTGCTTTAAAATAACATAAACGCAATGCTATAAAGATATATATTAAATATACATGAAAAGGTGACTGAAAAGCAATGAAAATTTGAATTTAATTTATAGTCATACAACTAAATGTTGATGAGTCTTTTAAAAAGGTAGGCATCGAAGATTTTAATATTCCAATTAGAAAAAGCATAGCATGCGTTATAATTGGCACATATGTGTTAATATATATAAAGCACACAATCGTATAAAAAAACAAGTAATAGGCATTAGTATAATCGTTCAGACCTTTAGAATTTAGAAGCTTCTAGATCAGTATTCTAATATATTAAGTTTTTTATGTAGTAGACTTTTTTTATGAATTATGCTATTAGTTTGTATATAAAACTGATATGATAATCTCTTGTTATTGTTATGAAAATATGAAAATTGCTTTTATGTCTATTTTGTTGAGTTAGGTGCATTAGTAACATTGTCGATACTTAATGGTAATTTACTGAAGACTGTTAGGTGAAGACATTTATAACAAAACCGTTGCCATTGAATATACATGTGTTATTATATATATATATATATATATATATATATGTATATGTATATATATATATATATATAGAGTTTATAATGATTGCATTGTGCTAAGTTTTATAAGTTATTTAAGTTGTTAATTAAATGAAGCTGCAAGTAGGATTGCGTGCATTGTTCTTTAAGTTTGAACATGTATTTTACATATTGAGTCAAATATTCGTAAGGTCATATTTAAGCACCTTTATTTTTAAAATATCATCTGGAACCAGACGATATATAACACCAGAAGCACCAAATTTTGTTTCTAACAACCTTACTAAATTTGGACCACTGGTGTCTTCTGCAGTGCCGCAGCTACAACTATCACTCACTTAAAATCCATGTAAAATTTTAATTATATTTATTATCAAGTGGCAATAAAATCATATTTTTTTTTTGTATTACAATAGTTTGTTTATACCTGTCACGACAGCATACTTGAAATGTTTTGACATTTTATTTGTAAAATCCAAACTGTAATCGAACAATAAGCGGTCTGATAATTACTTTAATGTTAATAATAATTATCTGCAGCAAATCTTATCAATTCTTTACGTAACTTTGGTGTAAAAATATTAACAAACAAGATTGTGCATATTTATGAGCATTCAATGAACATGTGTTCGTCAAGACGTCAACGTCAAACTACGAAAAACAGGGGTTTGCAACATTTTTTCACAATTGAATTGAATTTTAAAAAATGTAACGGTTTCATAGTTTAATTGCTTAATCCCTACTGAATCTTTATAATAATATTTATGAATAATTATTACGTTGTGTTTTTAGACATTATATTAATATAATTGTTTCATTCTTCTCAAATAAATCGATTATACATATTTGATGTAGTATTCAAATTACTGTAAACATCAATATGAAGAAGTGGATAGTATAAATAAAGTAGATTTGCGCTAAAAGTTTTGAATTGATATAATAACTTTGTAAGAAAGAAATGATTAAGACTTTTTAATTTCCCGAAGCAGAAAATTTGCATTTGCCCGAAAATCTGACTAGCTAAATTCATGTTTTTAAAACGGTTTTCAAAACTTTCAAAGCAATTCAATAAAACTATAATCAGTTTTGCAAGACGATTTTTTAGAATCAGCTGAGAAATGCGAATATTTTGTTCATGTTTTTATAAATATAAAAACCTGTTAGAAAGATATCAGTTGGGAATAGTGCTAATTCGTTTTTGGCAAAGATTGGACCCAACCGTTTCCTCGAATTAAATGTTAAAATAATTTATTTTGCATTTTTAATGTAGCTATACTGCACCACATACATTATAAATAGTCATTAGTTCATAGTTCTTTTTTGAAATAAATAGTTGAAAATTTCATTTAATTAACAATACATTCATCTGGTAAGCTAATCTCATATCTTATAATAAAGTCAAATATTTAAACTTATTGGGAAATTCATTAAAAATGTCAATTACATATAGCTATTTAATAAATTTCAAACTCAAAAACTGTATACGCTCAGAAAATCAATCATAAAATATTTTAAAATTTTCTCTGAACATAATAATTATGACAAATGATTACGCCATTAAACAAAAGTAAAAATCAACTTTTTTGTTCATTTAGTGCATTCATACATTCATTTAGACCAGAGCTATCTGAAATGAAATATGAAAAGAGCTTCACAATTAAACAGAGTCCTTAATCTTAATCAAGCATTAAACAAATAGTTCAAAAATGAATAAGTATATTGAATAGTTTTCATATTCATACAATGATATCTTTACATTAATATTATAATTAATATATCTGTAATTTGTTAGGCGACTGAAAACAAATTTGTTGACATAGTTATTTACTAATATTATTGTTATAATATACATATCTTATTGAAAATGCTTAATTAACAAAAAACAAATCACTAAACTAAACTCAAACAAATTAAGCTGTTTACAATTGAGTTTTTCAATAAATACGCAGGTTGATTTTTGTCCATTTTTGATTATCTGAATATTATCTCTTAAAAATTTATAATACCCTAACATATTTTTGTATTTTTTTAACTCTATCTGAAGAATTCTTGCCCTATATATTATAGCTGGTAATTTGCCTTATCGACATTATACACTGGTAAGAAACTACATCTAAATACATTCGGGTTAACACTAGTAAAACTATGTTTTTGATTGGGAACCATCCTAAAAAAAATTTAAATACACTCATATATCAACAATTTGCATATATGTCTTCTAAATAATATCTTTACGTTAATTGTTTTTTCACTATCATAATGTATATACAGTTATGTGTAATATATAGTAAATTTATATTTTATTCTTATATAAAAACTTTTAGTATTGTTAAATAATAAAATGTATTCTTATCATCGTCACAATAATAATCATCTCATATTAAAATTTTAGTCCATACCTAAATAATCCTAAGGGTACCACTCAACTTTAATAATCGAGTTTACATATTATAAGCATAACATACACAAGCTTGCATGTACTTTCAGCAGATCAGAAAATTATATCAAATAGTTGCACCTACACATACATCAAAATTAATCTTTATGGCCTCCAAGTATAGATCATAAACCTAAGGTTTACTTTTCCAGGAATTTCTGTCAGAAATTATTTATAATTTTAATTTAAAACGTTCCAAACATAACATTGTGCTGTACTGTTTACATTTTATAAAATAACATTTTTATCACAGTGCTGTCAAATCAATAGATGTCCCTAAAAAATATAATTCGAATAATAGAAAATTTAAATTAGGGGTTGTCTTTATATATACTTTTAACATGTTGGATATAGTTGCCAAATCTTCTTTTGAGGCATCTACTGATTTAAGTAGCTTACGAAAATTGATATGAGTTAAAATTTTTATAAATTTAAATAATTATACAACATTAAATGGTTTCCAAATTATATCATTAATAATTTTATTGTATAATTATTACATATATATATACATATTCAAGGTAAAACAAAAACAGTATCAGACCGCACAGAGATAAAGTGAAAAATAAAATTTAATAAATACTGGGCATTTATATTTTTGTTATTATCAATTATTAAATGTACTTAATTATGTTAAATGACTGATAAAATAAGCCATTTACACATATATTAAAATAAATCATTCATCATACGCATAAATGTGTAAATAAAATTATATATATATGCATGTGTACATATATGTGTGTGTGGATTTATTAAATTACATATATTAAGTACGAAGCTTATATACATAATAATGTACATAAATAATATATGTAATTTAATACATACGATTTTATAGATGTGTGTTTGTGTGTACATATTTATATAAGCAAAAAATATTTTAGCAGATTGGTTGTATGCATCATGATTAAAGCTTAAATAAATTTCCAAACAAACTTTGAAATGTAAAATATTTAAATACATATCTATATAAAATGATCCTATAATATAAGTTATCTTTAAAAGATGCTAATGTATTTTTTGCCGGGTATGCTTGGCATTTTTACAGTTCTAGCTATATGAATTAGATCACATATCTGTCATCAACAAATTCTTTAAAGTTCTAAAAATAAATTGCACCAATGGGTGATTTTTGTCCGATGTTAAACAAATGGTACATCAAATCTGACCTTAATAATGATCTCATAGTAATTTTTAATTAAAATATATAAATATATAAAATGCGCTACCAATATATAAATTACATTTGAATGTCTGATGTTTGTAATAGCTCATTTACCATTTCAATTCTATCAAATTCTATAAATCTTCATTTCAAGTCGAATATATAAATCCGTAACATACATAATTCATTATATAGTATTAATTATCCAGTATGAAATACTTCCAGATAAGAAATTGTCGATGACAAATAATTTTAATAAAATATTTTAGTTTCAATCAATTCACATTCACTGCATCCACATAATAGCTAAAAAATCCTTTAAAACACAATAACAAATAGCATATTGACATATTACTCCATTGTCTGTCTGTCTCTCACAACCCCGACTCCAGGCGGTTGTGGTATATTGATCTCATACTTGATAACTTGTGCAGGTTGTCCACCACCCGTGTGTAAAACTTGCACTTGCGCAAGATGAGACCCTGTAATTTGGTGGCCCATGGCATGAGCCATTGTTTCGCCATTGTTGTTTCCATTTGATTGTTGTTGTAGATTAAGTGGATTGTTAGATTGCTGCTGCTAAAATGTTTATGTAATGTTTTGGCAATTTTGATATAAATGCTTAATTAGATAAATTTAATGGTTCATACATTTGAGAGTCCATTATCATTTCCTTGTTGTTGCTGTTGTTGTTGTTGTTGCTGCTGCTGCTGCTGCTGTTGTTGTTGCTGAATGTTATTTGATGACTGAATAGCTGATTGCTGTTGTTGTTGCTGTTGAATTCCATTGCTACCAGATTGTTGTTGCTGACTATCACCCTGGAGAAAAATTATACTGATTAAATAATGTTGGCTTTGCTAATTAATTTTTTTTATTACTTGCAAGCCTTAGATTTTATTACTAGTGATTTATAAGTACAGGCAATTCCCGTATAACATGGTAGTTACGTTTCAAAAATAATGTTTTATGCGAATCCATGTTATATGAGACAAAGAACTAGTACATAAAGAGGAATTACGTTCCAAAAAATCAAAACAACATGCTACAAATCATGATTTTATAATAAATATTGTTATATTTCTCAATTTTTTAAAATAAGTAATATAAATTATATAATTTATATTTTTTCCTCATAATTAACAAGAAAGTGCTATCCAAAGCAATCTTTTTTTTTGCAATACATCCTCATCCTCTGAGCAGTGCTCTGTACTACCTCCTGATCTGTGCATTATATTTTGCAAAAAAAATTATATTTGCAATTATTTGCTTTTAGCAAAATGATATTTATATATTTAATAATGTAAAGTTATCTTTATTATACTTCTATGCTCATTTTATTTAAAGAATTGTTTAAGAAATATTGGATAATCCTAGAATATTATTTTTGATAGAACGTACGCGCTTTTATAATTAATTTCAAATTAGTTATCTTTTGCACATTTATTGTAAGGCGATTTTACTAATTTTAGATTAGATAAAGTTTGATTTTCATAGATTTTACTATTTCTTATTCTATTGGAATTTTGCTCAATCCTTAAACCGTGTTGTGCAAACCCGTGCAAGTCGTTGTAGAACATTAAAATGTGAAAAACTATTGCACATTCTTCAGCTTTGTACAACTTTATTAGCCATAAATCTTTTTGATTAATAGTTTAAATATTACAATATTGAACAAAAAACGAATGCGCGTTATATACCCTAAAAGCGTGGCCATTTTTTATAAACTTTTATAATTTAACATGAAAATCATCAATTTTTTTTTTTAATTCATTACAAAGTAACGATCGCATAATCGTCGCGAAAAGCTAATCAACGTGAAATCGGTGCAGTCGTCTTTTAGAGAACTTTGGCAAAAACTGGTCTCAAACAATTCAGAATGACTTGAACGGTCAAGAAAACAAAACCAGAGATTCGAATATATGTATATTACAGATTACTGACCTGATTTCTAGGATGCTCTTGGTGCTGTC